ACTTCTAGAACTCTTACAAAAATAATGATCAACATTGTCCAGAAGGAGAGCTGGGGACCTCAGTACTGACTAGGATGTTATCTTCTGGTGGCATCCTACAGATGGCCAACTTGATCCCATTTGAAGAAAGAGGATAACTGCATGAATCACTCAGAGTAAAAGGCAAGGGGTCTGGCGCATGGGAATGCTGTTTTTTTTTTTTAAGGTCTATACTCTTTTACTTTCAGAGTTGGGGCATCAGGCCCATTACTATGCTTAGTTTTCAAATAAAAATAGTCTTTTTTTTTTTTTTCTGGTCATAAAAAGTTACTCATTGCAGAAAATTATTCAATACAAAAAACATCTTAAGGTGGTAAAGCTAACCTGACATACTGTCCATTTTTGTGAAAATGCTTTCAGTAATACATTCTGGGTGCATACCAGCTATACAAACATCTTTGCAAGAATATATATGTTTTTTTTTCCTTTTTTTTTTTGAGACAAAGTATTGCTCCATCACCCAGGCTGGAGTACAGTTGAGTGATCTCGGCTCACTGCAACCTCCGCCTCCCGGGTTCAAGCAGTTCTCCTGCCTCGGCCTCCCAAGTAGCTGGGATTACAGGCGCCTGCCACCACCCCTGGCTAATTTTTTGTATAGAGACGGGATTTCATGGTGTTGGGTCAGTCAGTTTTCGAACTCCTGACCTCGCCATCAGCCCGCCTTGGCCTCCCAAAGTGCTGGGATTACAGGCATGAGCCACTACGCCTGGCATTTCTTTTTCTTTTGGAGATGGGGTCTGGCTCTGTCACCTAGGCTGTGGTGCAGTGGCATGATCTCAGCTCACTGCAACCTCCGCCTCCCGGGTTCAAGTCATTCTCCTGCCTCAGCCTTCTGAGTAGCTGGATTACTGGTGTGCGCCACCACGCCTGGGTAATTTTTGTATTTTTAGTAGAGATGGGGTTTCACCATGTTGGACAGGCTGTTCTTGAACTCCTGACCTCAGGTGATCCACCCACCTTGGGTTCCCAAAGTGCTGGGATTACAGGTGTAAGCCACTGTGCCTGGCCAAGAATACTTATGCATTTCTTTTTCTTTCTTTTTTAAATTTTTTTGAGACAGTGTCTTACTCTGTCACCCAGGCTGAAGTGCAGTGGCTAACCTTGGCTCACTGCAACCTCTGCCTCCTGGGCTCAAGTGATCCTCCTGCCTCAGCCTCCCAAGTTGCTGGGACTATAGGTGTACGTTGCCGCATCTGGTTAATTTTCATATTTTTTGTAGAGATGGGGTTTTGCCATGTTGCTCAGGCTGGTCTTAAACTCCTGAGTTCAATCGATCCCACCCGTCTTGGCTTCCCAAAGTGCTGGGATTATGTGTATGAGCCACTGCATCCAGCCTTATGTGTTTCTTACAGTCTGTTTTCTTTACAACTTAACATGTTATGGAGATCATCCTTTATCAATGACTGTAAGTCAGTATCATCATTTGTTTGATCAGTGAATCTTTCTGCATCAGAGTCTCTCATAGAGCTCCTAGCTGTGGCTGAATTCTTGTGCTCCAGGAGTTGGATGGCTTATGAAGAGAGGGGGAGTCAGCTTAGTCACCAAGACAAAAATATCAAAGCAGAGCTGGCATCTTTATCTGTCCCCAGTCCTCATCTTCTCCAGGCCCCCCTGCCTTCTCAGCTGCCTTCCCTTCCAGGGCTGTCTCCCCTTCTCAGCTGCCTTCCCTTTGAGTGCTGTCTCCCCACAAGCAGGTCTGGACGTGCTTCTCACTAGGCACTGTTCAGCTTCTTGACAATATTTACTTGGTCATGCAAGGAAGAATACCAGCCCTTCACCTCCTAAAAGAACTTCTTCGCTATTGCCTCTTGCCCAGAGGGATCCAACTTTCCATTTATGCTTGGTTCTTCATTTTTTTCTAGTACTTTTATATGGTGACCCCTCTAATCCTTGTTAGTCTTGGCAAAATCGTTTATTCTAACCCTGGTGTAAGGCTGTGGCTTCAAAGTCAGCATTTCCTAAATGAGGTTTTCTTAGCCACCCAACCCTAGAGTTCAGAGCTTCCCTCTGTCAGGCTCAGTGGCCACTTTTCTGTGGTCATCTGTTTTTCTTCCTCTGTTCTGGCTCAGGCAGTCCTTGCTATGACTTCCTCTTGACCTGGGTACCAAGGGCATCGGAAACAGGAGTTGCAGGCTTAGGCCGGGAGGAACCTGCAATCTGGCGGACACTTTAGGACAAGGGAAAACCTGTTAGAGTCCTTGAAAAGAGACAGGAAAACAAATGAAAAACATTAATACTTTCCATCTGTATTTCAAAGCCCTTTCACATACGTTATTATCCACAGTGGAGACCACATACGAGATCTGGAAAACATGGAATGGTGGAGTGACTTGGAGTCAGGCAGGCGTATTCCAGAAAAGTATCCATCTCAATCTGGTCTGCAGTCCTGTCCTTGAGAGGTCACCTTGTTCGGTTTCATTCATTCATTCTTCATCAAATGCACATTGCTATATTGTTCCTACTATGTGCCAGGCACTGTGCCTTTTCCCTTAATTACATACAAAACTCATGATCCAAAGTCTTCCGCCTTTTCCAGTTATTCCCAATGCTTAGCCTCAATCCCACCTACTGAAGTTTGTATTCATTTCCTCGTTTTTGGTGGAAAGGGGAGCCGTAACTCACCACCTACCATATAATAACCCTTCAGAGGCTGTTACTAAGCATCCATGGGGCTGCTATATTTACCTTTTAATAAATCCAAGCTTTTCTGCTTTTCTGTATCCGGGCTTTCTGAGGACGTAGAGGGAGACTCCCTGTGTAAGCCTTTTGCTAGCTGTGCCAGGCAATGAGGGAAATGCATGCACAGCAGTGTTGAATGTACAGCACAGAGACAGCTGGAAAATAATTGTCCAATTGAGTGTGAAAACCTGATACAGGTGGAACAGGCGCTGGGGTGTCTGCTTGGTAATGGCAGATCGGAAGGAGCTTTCGGACCACCATCCAGGGCTTTAGTAACCTGGAACATGTGGTATATTTCCCTGTCTACGCTGTTCCCTTGACAGCTGCTGATTCCCAAGCTTGGGAAGACCCAGTGTGTCTGGCCCATCCCTTCAAGATAGCCCAGTTTCGAGGGGGGAGTGGGGCACCTGGGCTCCTCCAGAGTGAGGTTTGAATCAGCTTTATCACAAGCCTGGAGTCGTCTAGTGGTCCTCACAGACGCTACCTTTCGGAGATAGACTTCTACTCGTGGGACTGAGCCGAAGCTGCCTGTCCTTTGGGAATGGAGGTTGTGTTAGTCAGGGTCTTAGTTACAAGCAACAGAACCAGAATTCCAATTTAAGTAAAAGAGAATGTGTTACGAGGGTTTTGGAGAGCTCACGAATAACAACTAAGGAAGGTTCTGCAGCTGGAACCAAGGCCAAAATCCAAACCTAGGACTGATCTGGCGAGGACCTGGATGCACTGTGGCACTCCCCAGACGGCCAGCTCTGTACGTAGGGTGCCACTGCTGGTATCGCTGTCAGTGTTGCCCAGACACTGGGTCTGGCTGCCAGTGCTGTTTGGGTCAGAAAGCTTTTCCGGGTTTTGCCTCTTGCACTACTAGTTCTCTAGTCATTGTCAGTCCAGGGTTATCTCATTGGCTAAGCCTAGGTCCCTTGACCAGCCTCAGAAGGTGAACATTGATGATTTCAGCTTCTGTAGTTGGAGATGAGCACTATCTCCCACATTAGATGGGGAATTCGCCAAAATAGGAAGATAGTAGGTGGTTAAGAAATGACTAAGGCATACTAAAAGGGCTTTGGGGGAGAAACAGCTAAATAGTGGATATTATGAACTGGTTTGCTTGATTGTAGCTAGTAATCATTTATCATTCACACACTACCTCAAGTTTATTGGGCATCAACCACATGCCAAGCAGTGGGCAAGGCGCTTTTCCATCCTTTATATCCTGTGGTCCCCACCATAACCTTGTAAGATTGTGGAGCCATGAAGCAAGTCAAACAGTAGTATCATTTGTGAGAAAGGATTGAAACACAGGCTGAAAAGATTGGTGGCAAAGGAGACACTGCATTTCTGGGGAGGCAAGCCCAAATTGCCCCAGAGAGGTTGTCCTCATGGGAAACTGGTACTAGGTAGTTAATGAGAAACTGTTGCTTCTCTCTCCTGCCATCCCTGCTTCCTTTATCCTTACTTCCATACTAGGTGGTTGACTTGGCCTTCAGCTTCAGGGACTACAGAAATGCTCTTTCAAAAAAAAGTTTTGTTTTTAATTGGCACATAATAATTGTACACATTTATGGGGTACAATGTGATGTTTTGATACATGTATACATTGTGTAACGATTAAATCAGGGTAATTAGCATATCCATTACCTCAAACACTTGTCATTTCTTTGCAGTGAGAACACTCAAAATTTTCTTGGCCGGGCCCGGTGGCTCACGCCTGTAATCCCAGTACTTTGGGAGGCCGAGGCGGGCAGATCACGAGGTCAAGAGATCGAGACCATCCTGATCAACATGTTGAAACCCCATCTCTACTAAAAATACAAAAATTAGCTGGGTGTGGTGGTGCACATCTGTAGTCTCAGCTACTCGGGAGGCTGAGGCAGGAGAATTGCTTGAACCTGGGAGGCAGAGGTTGCAGTGAGCCGAGATTGCGCCACTGCACTCCAGCCTGGCGCCTGGCGACGGAACGAGGCTCTGTCTCAAAAAAAATAAAATAAAATAAAATAAAATAAATAAATAAAAATTCTCTCTTCTAGCTAGTTTGAAATATACAGTATAAATTAATATACATTATTGTATACATGTATGTTAATATATGTTTATACATAGTAATATACATTATTGTTAACTCTAGTCATTCTATTGTGCTATCAAACACTTGATCTTATCTCATTTAATCTTCACACCATTTATATTTCTCAAAATCCTCTCTTTTGAAATAGACAGTCCATTATCATTAACTATAGTGACCTTTCTGTGCAATAGAGCACCAGCACTTATTCCTCCTATCCAGCTGCAACTGCACACTCATTCACCAGCCTCTCCCCATGCTCCTCCCCATCCTCTCTTCAGCCTCTGGTAACCACCATTCTATTCTCACTTCTATGAGATCAGCTGTTTCACAGAAACGCAATTTTGTGCAGAGCTTTCTTTTCGCAGAGCCCCCCTGCTCGGTGGGGATGCCCTCCGTCTGCTGCTCTTTGTCCCCTAGGGGTCAGAGTTTGCACAGCTGCTTTCCCTGTTTCTTTTTCACATGCCCACCTACTCCCCGACATGGGCTGGAGGATTGTTGACTGCCCAAGGTCTGGATGTCACTCAGTACTGATGACCCAAACTTTCTGCCTCTTCCTGCAGCCGCTAAGCACAGCTGGCGTCCTGAGCTCCTCTTCTACTGCTTCCAGCAGGTCCAGGAATAAGAATCGCTATCGGACCAAAGCCGTGAGCTCTGAGGTGGATGAGAACCTCTTTGGAGATATCAAGGTAATCCTCAACAAGTCCTTCCGAGTCGATGCTACCTGCAGGCAGAGGCCCAAAAATATAGCTCAGGACAAAGCTTATTTCGAGTAACCTTGCTCTCTTAGGTAATTCTCAGATCGAAGACAGAGGGGAATTCTGAGACCTGAGCTGCAAAGCTTTGAGATCTAGTGAGACCTGTATAAACGGGCATCTGGCTTCTACCCTGGAATCTCCCATGTCTTCACAGTGTTTAAAATCTGTTGCAATGTCAAAAGGGAGGCTCAGCTGCAGAGAGTGCAATAGTTGCTCAGTGAGAGCTCCGTGATGGAAACATTGGAGGGCTGATGGGCTAAGCTTGCAGACAAGAGCAACATCTTCCCCCTGCATCCAAGGATAATAGCCTAAGAGTACAACACAAAACCATCCTCCTTTCCCAGTTGCTCAACTGAAACAATTACTTAGCTTTGGGAAATGAGCAGGTCTTTATTTGCAAGTGTTATCTAGACCAAGAGGTTGACAACTCCTTTAGATAAAGAGAGCTAGATAATAGAGCTTTGACTGATTTTGGTACACATGGAGTTTAGTAGGTGAGAAGGAAGAGAGGGAAGGAGAAAAAAAGAATGAGACATGGAGAGAAGGGCAGTAAGAGATTAAGAGAAGGGGAAAAGAGAAAGAGAGACAGCAATCATGGCCTGAATCCCTCTGCCAGTGGGGCAGGTGGGGAAAGGAGAGTTGATGTCTGTCCCTGCTTTTCAACATCTTCATTGTGAATCGAAGAGGGCTCTCCAGAGGAATTAAGATAGGCTTCTTAACTCATGTAGAAGACTCTCACTCTGTAGCAGTTTTCCTATTGGTAAGGGAAAGGATCAACAGAATACTTTATTTGTTTATTTATTTTTGAGACAGAGTCTCCCTCTGTCACCCAGGCTGGAGTGCAATGGCACAATCTCAGCTCACTACAACCTCCACCTCCCTGTTCAAGCAATTCTCCTGCCTCAGCCTCCTGAATAGCTGGGATTACAGGTGCATGTCACCATGCCCGGTTAATTTTTGTATTTTTAGTAGAGATGGGGTTTCACCATGTTGGTCAGGCTGGTCTCGAACTCCTGACCTGGTGATCCACCCGCCTCGGCCTCCCAAAGTGCTGGGATTACAGGCATGAGCCATCGTGCCCGGCCATTTTATTTTTATTTTTTTAAAGACAGGGTTTCACTCCTGTCACCCAGCCTGGAGTGCAGTGGTGCAATCTCGGCTCACCTCAACCTCCACCTTCCAGGCTCAAGTGATTCTCCTCCCTCAGCCTCCCAAGTAGCTGGGACCACAGGTGCACACCACGGCACCCGACTAATTTTTGTATTTTTTGTAAAGTCAGGGTTTCATCATGTTACCCAGGCTGGTCTTGAACTCCCAAGCTCGAGCAATTTGCCTGCCTGGACCTCCCAAAATGCTGGGATTACAGGCATGAGTCACCCCACTGGCCAACATGCAATTTCACTTACATTTTTTGTTTGTTTGTTTGTTTTGGGTACATGTGGAGTTTTCTAGTCAAAGCAAACAGAGATGTGGAATTGGCTGAGTTCTCCAAGAGTAGTCATGCTGGCTGGCAAAGGGGGCTATCAGAAAAATGCCTGTCCCTTGTCCAGTTTCTTTGGACTTATTGGTGGGTAAGAGTTCAGGAAGTCTCTCAACTGGCAGTAGAGGGCAGAAGTGACCTGTGGCATGACTGAGTTGTGCCCACGTGAAAGTAGAGACAGGCACCAGGTGGCAGCAGTACACAGGGGACTGTGGGTGCAAAGTGAGGTAGGACAGGCGGGGCGGTCCCCCTGCCTCTGCTCAGGATCACAGTTGCTGCATTAATGACAGATTCTTTCCTGTGTTTAGACATTTTCTGAAACAAGGGATTTCATTTTCTTGTTATCTAACTCCCTCAGGGTCAGAAAATTTTGAAAAAATAATCATACAGCTAGTCTGTGTTCTTGCTGAATTCTAACTCACTGACCTCCTCACCACCAACTCAATCATCTGGTAGAGAACTACCCTTAGATCTTAAGGGTAGGTTTCTGCAGGTCATTTAGCCATTTCTAATTCCCTCCATATGGCTTTCTTTTTGTGGGGGTGGTGGGGGGTGGGGGTGGTGGTGGTTTAAAGTAATTTAATTGTAAGAAAGAATTTAAAATTGCCAATGTTATAGATTCTAAGAGTCTGTAACCAACTGTATTGGTTCAGACTCATTGTGTGGTCCCAGAGAGACAGTTATTTCTTCTTTCATAAAGGAAAAGCTTTCATGGCGAGAGGAAAACATACAGACCAGAAATTTACTTTCATTCCTAATGATTTTAGACTAGGTATAGACACATTAGTGACCCCCACTCCCTGCTATCCCTGCTATTCTGCAATGAGTCTCTGTGCAAGAACAAGAGACTTGTTCTCAGAAAAGCTGGTCAGGGCCGGGCGTAGTGGCTTACGCCTATAATCCCAGCACTTTGGGAAGCCCAGGCGGGCAGATCACCTGAGGTCAGGAGTTTGAGAACAGCCTGGCCAACTAAAAATACAAAAATTAGCCAGGCATGGTGGCGGGTGCCTGTAATCCCAGCTACTCAGGAGGCTGAGGCAGGAGAATCACTTGAACCCACGAGGCAGAGGTTTTAGTGAGTTGAGATTGTGCCACTGCACTCCAGCCTGGGCGACAGGGCAAGACTCCTCGTCTCAAAAAAAAAAAAAAAGAAAAGAAAAGCTGGTCAGTACAGAACACATCCAGCCATGCTCAGACATAGGGCATCATGCTGCTCTATGCGTGAAACTAGGACTGACCAGGAAGAAGCGGGGATGACAAGCTTCTAAGCTACACTTTGTGAACTCATAGTCCCCAGCCCAGGGCCAGAGCGACAGCCCCATCGTGCTGCTCCGAGATAAGCATACCCTTCGAAAATCTCTCACTGCCGTGGCCTTGGATCGCAAGCCAGAGACTATCCAGCTCATCACTCGGGACATGGTCCGAGAACTCATGTGAGTACACAGTCCTCTGCCCTTCTTTGTCCTGCCCCCATTCTTTTGCTAAGGATCTTTGCAGGGAGATGAGTAAACCCACCTGGTTGCATCCTGTTGGTCCAATCCCCACTTCTTTCCTATTCATTTTCCCCTTTTTGTTTCATAGTTCTTTCTTTCTTCTCCATCCTGGCCTCTCTTGTTTCTCCCATTGTTGTATCTATTATTGCCATTGTCCTTTATTCTCAGCTTCATTCTCCTCCCTTACTTCTGGCTGGCTGCATGAGCTCAACGGGACTGGTAGAGGGGAGGTGCTTAGTGAGCCCTCTCTAAGTCCCCATTAGCGCACACGGTAGAGGGAAGTATCCAGATGAGTCACTTCCTTTCGGCTGCATTTAAGAATCCAAAGCAAAGGGAAACTGACCAGATGCCTCATTAGCCCCCTGGCTTCCTCCCACACTCTAAGGCCATATGAGGAAATTCGCAGGGGCTCCCTGGGTTCTTTTGGTATTAGCTCAGCCCCACTTCCTGACTAGAGCTGCCCCCAGGCTTGAGCCCCTCCTGTGGGGCATAGGCCTAGCTCGGCCATGTGTGGTGAGCCAACACCGGGCGTGGTGGTTTAGCCCTTGTGTTAGTGCATCACTCTCTACAGCCGCTCTCCCTGCTCTGGTTCCACCCGCTAACAACCCGAACTCCCAGAAAATGCTGCCTGTATCACATCTGGGGAGGCACATCTGGGACACACCCCAGGGGCTGTGTTGGACTGCGGACCCTTCCTGAGCATGGCTGGTCAGCCCTGGCATCAAGTGGCCAGATGTGGCTAGAGCCCTGCAGCCACTCCCGGAGCCCGAGGGAGGTTCCTTCTTGGAGCCATCTAGTCGTGAAAACACGCTGGAGGACAAGTCGCTGATTATTTTTCAGGGCTGCTGAAAATAGCATGATCTGCTATCTTAGATTTGGATCACCCCTGGTCACTCCAGATCCCAGGCTGTTTAGGGCCATGCTGCTTTGTGGAACACAAGATCTTGGCTAAGCTGCAAATCCACTCACTCGTTCTGTCCGTCTCCTGGACCACCCTCCCCCAACACACACACACCAGCTTTATTAGATGAGGCTTCACTTCCTGTCTCAGGCCGTCTGTGTCTTATTGGCATGTACTTGTTAAAGTGGCATGTACCTGCCTCACCCAGAAGCAGTTTTCTTCCCACCCCCCTAACTACTCCCTCCCCCATCTTTAATGTATGTCATTTGCTTGTAATCATTATAATTAGCTATTGGTTTGTTGAATGCGTTGGACAGCTAGAAAGGAGAAGTCTATAGACATGTCTCTGGCTATTGTTGATCATAGATTTTAATTAATATTTAGTGTTCAAAGCTTCTCTTTAGGCTGGATGGGCAGGGAAGCTTAGGATTCTAACTAGCATCTCTATCAACCTTGTCTGGCGTCCCCTTGTCCTTTTTATGTCGTCCTTGAGGAATAATCTGTTTTAAAAGTTTAATTCAACAGCTTTGTTTTGAATTCTCCCTCTGGGTCAAGCGCTGTGCCAGAGACTAGGCTGCCAGTGTGGTTAAGACAGAGTTTGTGTCCTGAAGTAGCTCATAAAGGAAACAGCCCGCACGACTGGCTGTGATACAGGCAGGAAGAACAGAGCGCAGTGGGGGCTCAGAGGAGGAAGGGATCTACTGGGCCTTGGTGGGGGCAGAGCGGGCACAGGTGGACATGGTGGTGGGGGGCGGTCAGACAGCTGCACAGAGAAGGTAACGTATGAGCTGGACCTAATAGAAAAAGGACTTAACAAGTCTCTTTTTAGCCTGTAATGCTACCTGATTCCGCGTCCCCCTACCCCCGCCACTTGGAACCTCTACTCCTCAGTGGACCCATGGCACACTTAAAGTTTCTTCTGCCATTGAGGGTGTCCACTGGCATGATGGGGAGAGGGGAAGAGAGCAGAGAAGCCTGAAGTGTGGTGCCGAGAGCTTTCCCTCTCCCCTCCCTAACTTTGTTCATTCTTGTGTCAGTGTTCCCACAGAGGATCCCTCCGGGGAATCCCTAATCATCAGTCCTGAGGAGTTTGAGCGAATCAAATGGGGATCCCATGTCCTGACCAGAGAAGAGCTTGAGGCCAGGGACCAGGCCTTCAAGAAGGAGAAGGAAGCCATCATGGTAGTGAACCTCCATAAGCCTTCACCTCTGCAGAGGCGTGGCAGAATAATAATGCACTGGGGAACTCTCGTTAGGGGACCCTGAAAGGAGACATGAATTGTGTACTTAATGAAGAAATATTGCAGAAAGGAGACCAAAGAGCAATTCCTGAGAGGAGAGGCGGGAGCAACCCGGGCCAACGGGAGGGCTGAGAATGAAGCCAGGCTGTGAAACTTCCCGGTTCTGACAGCATCAGTGGCAGAGGCCACATTGTACTGGGTCACTTGTGGTAGGCAGGCTAGCGCCCAGGGCACAGAATGCATGAAATATCCCCCACTGAGCCAGACTGGTCTCCCTTAGGATGCAGTGGTGACGCGAAAGAAGATCATGAAACAGAAGGAGATGGTATGGAACAACAACAAGAAGCTCAGCGACCTGGAGGAGGTGGCCAAGGAGAGGGCTCAGAACCTCCTGCAGAGAGCCAACAAGCTGCGGATGGAGCAGGAGGAGGAACTCAAGGACATGAGCAAGGTGGGCTCTTTGTCTCTCCCTTCCCTCTGATCACTCACTGCCATACCTCCTCCCTCCTCTTATTCCCGCACTGGACAAGCCAGGGACTGGTGGGGGCTCGGGCAGGGGTGGAATGTGGGGAGGGCTTCACCTGCCATGGTAGTTGCCATGATCACAGGGAGGACTGGCTCTGCCACCTGCTTGCTGTCTGACCTTGGGCAAGTCACTTGCCCTCTCTGAGCCTCACTTTCTTCATCTGTAACTCAAGGGTGGTAAAACTACTTCACAGAGGCTGGGCGCAGTGGCTTACGCCTGTAATCCCAGGACTTTGGGAGGCTGAGGCGGGTGGACCATGAGGTTAGGAGATCAAGACAATCCTGGCTAACATGGTGAAATCCCGTCTCTACTAAAAATACAAAAATTAGCTGGGCACGGTGGCGGGTGCCTGCAGTCCCAGCTACTCAGGAGGCTGAGGCAGGAGAATTGCTTGAACCCGGGAAGTGGAGGTTGCAGTGAGCCGAGATCATGCAACTGCACTCCAGCCTGGGTGACAGAGTAAGACTCCGTCTCAAAAACAAAAAACAAAACAAAACTACTTCGCAGAATCGTTGGCAGGATGAAATAAGCTAATAGATGGGAGAGGCTTTGTGAGCTTGTGAGCTGTGGATTGGTAAATTACATGTGAGGTGTCACTTTTATTTTTATCCTGCTAGTTCAGTTCTGGCCATATAGGGTGGCCGAGTCAATTGGATGCTTTTTGAAGTACCCAAAGCTCTTCCTTTGGCTGAGCGCTTAAAGACCAGAGGCTCATTTGAATTCTGTCATAACTCATTTGCCTGTGGTCCACTTCCTTACCAAATGAAAAGGGCTGAATCCCCAATCCCTTCACCTCTGATTTCTGTCTCTCAGGTAAATCTTCTCTACGTATGCCTCCTTTACTTTTCTAAAGGTTTTACTTTTGGGTTCTTATTATGGGCCCGTGTTTTTCATTCCTTTTGTGTCATGTTGGGCTCTTCCAGCTTAAAAATCCTGTGGCCTGGCCTCTGCAAGAGTGTCTTAGCTCCTCTGAGGAGAACAAGGGGTCTAACCTGGAGTTCATGGGTCCCTAAGTGAAACAATGGACCTCTGAGGTTTTATAGAAATTTTGTGTGTATATATGTAAGTGAATCTGATGGAGGAGAGGGCCTATTGCTTTCATCATATTTCCAAAGCATGACCCATTACCACCAAAACCCTAAGATGCGGCTCCCTGAAAGATGCTATTCCAGGTCCTTCCTTGCACAGACCCTGGCAGCTAGCAGGAGGCCAGTAAATGTTTGAGCTGAACTATATTAAGGGGAAAGGTAAATATAAGAACGTTCTTATTTCCCTGGACTTGTGAGCAGTCATGCACACCCAACATGCTCAGCAGCACAGCATTCTGTTTCCATTTCTTCCCCTTAAACTTACCATCCCCAGGCCTAGTGCCACAGTTTTATCTTCAATCTCCAGATCATCCTCAATGCTAAGTGCCATGCCATCCGGGATGCCCAAATCCTGGAGAAGCAGCAGATCCAAAAAGAACTGGACACAGAGGAGAAGCGGTTGGATCAGATGATGGAAGTGGAGCGGCAGAAATCCATTCAAAGGCAGGAGGAACTGGACAGGAAGAGGCGGGAGGAAAGAATTCGGTAAAGATGTGGTTTCTGCATCTCTCTCTCTAAGCTATTTCTATGTATCTTTAGGTCCATGAAGCCCAGCAAAGAGGGAAGAGATAAACGATCATTTCTGTCATCTACTTATTATCTGATAACTTTATGAAGTGATACATAGAATCATAGAACTTTTTTTTTTTTGAAAGGGAGTCTCACTCTGTTGCCCAGGCTGGAGTGCAGTGGCATGATCTCAGCTCACTGTAACCTCCACCTCCTGGGTTGAAGCAATCCTTCTGCCTCAGCCTCTCAAGTAGCTGGGATGACAGGCACGCACAACCACACCGGCTAATTTTTGAATTTAGCAGAGACGGGGTTTCACCATGTTGGCCAGACTGGTCTTAAACTTCTGACCTCAGGTGATCCGTCGGCCTCAGCCTCCAAAGTGCCGGGATTACAGGCATGAGCAACTGTGCCTGACCCGAATCACAGAACTTTTAAAAGCTTATTTCCATTTCCTCGGAGGCACTTCACCATCTGGCTGCGATCAATCTCGTTTCTCACTCCTATCTGCCATGTGCTCTGTGCTTTCTCCTAGGCCTCAAACATGCCAGGCCTGGTCACAAGTTTTGATTCTTTGTTGTTCTCTCTTTTTTTGAACATCCTTCTCTTTCCTTTTCCTCCTGGAAAATGCTCTCTACTTCCTTTCATATACAGTGTTGCTGTCGCCTCCCTCATGTCACCAGGTAGGCTTCGTGGCTCCCTTCTCTTTCCCGTCACTCTGTGTTTAGACTCCAGCTCCCCACTCTTGTGCTGTGGCTCTCTGACCCTCCTAGATGCTATGCTCCTTGGGGACAAGTCCTATCATATCCATTTCTGTAGCTTCTGAGCCTAGCAGAGTGTTAGGCCTGTAGTAGGTGCTTAATTCATGTTAGGATGAATGAATCCAGTCTCCCCTTCATTTTGGGCAGAGAAGGACAAGTCCCAGAGCAAGTAAATTATAGAATAATAGTGTACTAGATTTAGAACACCAACCATACCATATATGAATTACCTCTATAAATAATCCTTGTGCCACACCGAATGGCCGTTTTATCTCCCCAACTGTATTCTGTTCTCTGGACCCATTCATCTCTGTGCTGGGTATATTATACCTGCTACATTCACCTCTGCATTTCTGGTAGGCACCTGGTATACTATAGTAGGTTCTCAGTAAAAGGTTATTTAGTGGCTAAGTGGCTGTCCGTCTTCTGCACAAACAGCTCCAGCAAAGTCTCATTCGACAACTGTAATGATTTGTGCTGGTAATATATTGAGCCCAAACCTGTTTTCATGGAAGCCTTTTACTCTTTACTCCTGTTTATTTCATCTGGAGTCATGAAGCCATTCAAGCACTCCATCTGAATGTGACTCTCATACTCTTTCCTCTTGATTCTTATCCTAATCTGTGTCTCCTGTCATTCTTCCAGCCTTTACTCATATGTCAAGGGGTCTATGCTTCCAGGTTTATTGACATCCCACTAACACATAGGGAATCACTGGCAAACCTCTTGTAGACCCTGGTTTTTTTTTTTTTTTTTTTTTCCTGTTCGGCTAGCTTCCTACGGTTGCTCTGGGAAGACTTGGGAGGTGGTAGGACTTCAGAAACTCTTTATATACTGGAAGGTAGAATGTGCTTTATCAAGTGGGGTGCCCTCTTGGGCAAAAAAATAAAGAAGGAGAATCTCAGGAAGAGTGAGCCTTAGAACGAGGAGCTCAGGAGAAAGAAGGCTGACCCTTGAGGTCCTTCTTGGAGGAAGGACTTTGGTCTGGGCTCATGAAGCATATCGATGTTTAGGGGGCACTTGTCAAATTGTTTCTGTGACATCACCCATCTTGGGAGTTGTTTGGGTGGAGGTTGGACCCTGGGAGACGTGGACCCTGGGTGTCTAAGACCTGGTGGTTCTGTTCTCTCCTAGAGGAAGGCGGCAAATTGTGGAACAGATGGAAAAGAACCAGGAGGAGCGATCGCTGCTTGCTGAGCAGCGGGAGCAGGAGAAGGAGCAGATGCTGGAGTATATGGAGCAGCTCCAAGAGGAGGATCTAAAGGTAACAGGCCAGACAGACGATGCCACGTTTCACCAGCAGCAGCAGCATCAAAACCCTTCAGGACTCTGGGCTTTCAGGGTGTGACTGATTTTTCTGTCACATCATCACCTTCTACTTTTTATTGCCATGTTAAATATTTATTTCACCACGGTGTCATGCTGGGGGATGAGCAGTGATTTGGATAGATATTGTCCCTTCCTTCCAGGGACTTGGGGTCCAAGACTGACGTATCATTGTGAATAGGCACATAAAGGATATATATGGCTACATGCTTTGCACAAGTAAACATAGGGATGTTTTATAGTCTTCCTTCAATCATCTAGGGATATTACACACTTTATGATAAACAGTAGCAATATTTTAGTTCCAGGCTCCCTGCTGTTACTTCACTCAAAGTACATAGCATCCCATTGTCATTAATTGTGTTGTGAAGTCAAATCTTTTCTTCCTGTTAGTCCAAATAAAATTGGTAGGCATATCTATTGCAAAAGAAATGATGACATACCTGCCCAAACTAAGAAGATTTAAAAAGTCCTTTTCTATGTGCCTTCTCTGGGCTGTAGCAATGTATAAAACTCTTTAGCACAGTGAGGGACATGGCAGGCACTTGGAAAATTTATTTTTTTCCTTCAGTTTTTTATTTTGAAATTTTTTTGCACACACAGAAAAGTTGAAAAACTTGTATCACACCCATAAACTCTTCATCTAGATTTAATGATTATTAATCATTTGCCTTACTTGCTTATTTCTTTCTAGGTGTATATACGTATTTTTTACTGTTAAACTACTTGAAAGTAAGTTGCAGATATCTTGACACTCTGCCACTAAATGCTTCAGCCTGCAACTCTGAAGAACAAGGACACTCTTTTACATGTCACCAATACCATTATCACCTCCTCCATCAAAAACTCGAATTCAGTGATTCCATAATACTGTCGAATATTTAATCCACACTCACATTCCCCAATTGTTCCAAATATGTCTTTCTGGCTTTCTTGTTTCCAAACTAGACATTAATCAAGGTTTGCACATTGCATTCAGTTGTATTTCTGTAGTTTGTTTTCATCTAGAAGAGTTCCCCCATTCATTCATTCATTCATTCATTCATTCATTTCTCCATTCTTTTTATAACACTGATATTTTGAAGCAGCTAGGCCAGTTGCCTTTAATAATATCTCACATTCTGAATTTGTATGATTGCCTCCTCATGGTGCCATTTAACTTGTGGGACACGTATTCTTTTATGGTTCTCCTCCTTCCCCGTGTTTATGAATTGTCAAGTTGTCATCAGCCAGTGCATCTAATGGTGGTGAGTGACAGTGGCCATGAAGAGTCCTGCAGGTGGGCAGACGTGTAATTATGAAGCCTTCTCACCACACCTGCAGTGTGAGGATCTGCTAGAGAAGTAGAATGAAGATCGCCTTGGTAGTTAGGGAAACTGAAGGGGCAGGTAGCCCTGTGAGCTGCATGAGGAGAACAGCAGGGTAAAGACAATGAGAGACCTGGCCAAGTTACTTTATTTCCTGGCTCAGGGGAGAGAGAGTGGGAAAGGACCAAGAAGGAAAGGCATGGGGCACATAAGCAGGGTAGTGGGTGAGAAGTGAAGATGGGAAAATCCAACTGGATGTGGGGAGTGGGAATGGGTCAGCTCACTGAGGAAGTTCTAGGAGTCCATGAGTCAGCACTGATGTTGTGTCATTATCGTTTTAATGTCCTTCTAACAGGCACTCCCGGAGTCTCCAGGGAGTATTATTAGGCAATTTTAAGGTAGAAATCTGTGCCTTCCCGGCTTTAGACCTACTGTATCATCTCCTGGTGGTACGAGGGGTAGCGTTTCCCACCTTGCTAGCGAAGTGGAGGAGAGTGAAGGGAATTAGTTTATCTGGGGTTGCTTTGGGATGGCTTCAAAAGAAATCGGGAAAGTCTTTTGGTGTCTTAGAAATGAAATGAATCAACAAAAACAATCCAAAAAATAAATAAATAGGGAAATAAGTAAATAAATACATGATTGCGTGTGTGTCAAACGTCAGAAATCAACAGCATCTTTAGCTTCGATGGCCAGTGAGATTAAATGATGTCTGTGATACAAACGGCAGGCCTAACGTCAGTGAGAAGCAGTTAGAAAGGAAAGAAGAAAGGGAGAAGGGGGAAAAGGAGCGTGGAGTTGGAGGGGCAGAAGGGGAAAAGTGGAGTGAGCAAAGAAGTGAGCATGTTGAGAGAGAGGGAACGTCTGTGACTCATGAACCACGAGGACCTCAGAGGCAGTCATCACACGACTCTGGTTCAGAAGGCTTCCTGAAGGGAGGAGCCCTGAACTGGGCAGTGAGCCAAGCTGGCAGAGAGCGGGCACTAGAGAAAGACCCGCAGGGAGAGTTACCTTGGTCGGATGAATCAAGGCAGCAGCTGGGCTGAGGAAGAGCTAGAAGGCCAGGGAGGGATTTAGTCTTTGGAGAAATGGATAGAGCTGGAAACAGTGTGGGAGGTAGCGTGAGTTAACCATAGAAAAACTTAAAGCGAGGAGCCTGAGATTGATTGGAGGTGACTGGGGGGGGCAGCTGTTCCCCTAATTCCAATGCCCCTTTGCACCTGAGAATGCGCTTGGCTCAGAAGTGGTCTGATCATTGAGAGCTGTTGAAGGCTCAGGGCTGGGAAAGGGAGGGGGATCCTTCCTTAAAAAGGACCTTGTTCACATTGGCACTCTGATCTCCATCACATGTTTCTCTGTGTCTAAGAACTTTTTTTTCCTCTCTCTCACATGCCACTCACTTTGTTCCCACCTTCCTTGCCTCATTTAGCAATAGTTTATTGAATATTTGGTATCTTCCTTGCATTGGACTACACGTCGTTGGGGAAGAGAGGATATGTGACACGATGCCCCTTGTCCTGTAGCTGGGGCAGAGCAACACATATGAAATGAGTGGGGACCTGCAAGGCAGCATATGATCACCTTGCAAGAGGTGTGGAACCATCTTAAGTGCAGAGGGAATTCAGAAATGGAGAGAGAAATGAAAGTTGAGGCAATCAAGCAGGATTTCCAGAGCAGGTTGAAATTTTAATTCACGCAGAACATGTTTCAGGATTTTAGCCCTGGACATTATTATCTGTGTGGCTGATGGGCAAGTCATGTCACTGCTAGGCCTTAGTTTCTTTTTTTTTTTTTTTTTTTTTTTAGGACGGGGTTTTTTTCTTTTTACCCAGGCTGGAGGGCAATGGCACGATCTCGGCTCC